AGGCACTGGCGAACGGTAGTGGGGGGATGCTACTTGAAACGTCTGACAGTTTTTAAAATATATCCAGGTCTTGAGAATTCCCTTATTGAAGACTAATCGAAAATTTAGGAAACTTTGATGAATGAAAAACAAGAAGCCATAGGTGACAATTCTCCGTGAAGTATTATATATTGCAACAAAAAGAAGTAGCCATTGGCGACAATTCTCTGTGAAGTGTGATAAATCGACGCAACAACCAATCAGAGATGCGAGATGCCTACACGTGACGCGGGAAGGGCGCGCGATGCCCGAAATATTTTTGCGTCAATATTCAGCGCCGTGATTCAAGAGATTAATACCCGGAAACAATTTTTTTCTTGTTTTGAACGCATTAACATGCATTTACGCTAATCTAGTATGATTCAGGGTTACTTTTTTTTAACCTGCCATGGCCAGATTATCTAAAAGATGTGTGTATTGTGTGTACAATCTATAGAAAGAGAAATGTACATCAAGTCCGATCATCCGATTTTCACGTTTCGGTTTTTTGGACTCGGTTCATGAACGTATTTTGGTTTGGCTCCTGGAATGTGCAAAAAAATGACTCCCGGGACTGTCTACAGGGAACACTCGCACATTCGCGGTGTATCAGGACAGCGCGACTGGTCGTCATTAGCGCAGTATAACAGTTGCATAAACGGACGAAACCATTTCAAAGAAATGGGGATGTTTCGAAAATAAGCATTTACTCCAATATCAAAACAGCTACGGTAAAATAAAAAGACGTGCATCATCCCGGACATAATGCAACACCACATGCGAAATTACACAGAAATGCGACGTACGGAAGAATGCGTTTTGGCTGCGAACATCTTCCAAAAAACTTGGCATCTCTTAACCATGGGCAAAAACATCTGGAACCACTTATAAAAACCACCCCGTATCTGCATGAACTTTTTTGAACCCCACTGCTATTCCAAACAACGCGTTTTTCTGGACCATTCCAATTCGCCTCGTAATTGTAGGGGTGCGTCTGCGATATTACATTGACCGCGAAAGCAGCAACGGCAAAAATACACATTCGTGCATCAACACGGGCATGCCCGCAGACGGCGTATAAAATTGCGTGCCGATTACACAAAGAGAACCCAGTGTTTTGACTGCGAACATGAAAAATCAGCCGATTACAACACTCCGTCCGGAGGTCCTGACCTCCTTCACGGAGTAACAATTGTACAGTTTCTCCTTGTTCCTTCTCTCTTTTTTTTTTGAGAACAGGCGAAAATCAATGCGCGCGCGGATGTCATCCATAAAATAAAGGCGGTGTGGCCTAACACCCATTCAGACATAGATCAGGAGCAAGCTCCAACATGGAATACTCTCACGTCTATCAGATCCCATCACATCAGCGCGCCAAGTCCCGGAACTAATAAAGTGCCTGCCGCAGATCTCCTGTCCCTGGTGTGGCATGATTTCTTCTGATTACCTTCTTAAACGTTATCTCAAGAAAGCCGCCAAGGCGTCTTCTGAAAGATAACTAGCTTGTTAAGAGAGAAGAATCAAATACGGAGCTTTTATCAAAAGGTTAAAGTCATTCTAGCAGATCCTTTTGAGCGGTGTGAGCAAGTTAGTATTAATGTTGACTAGATTAAGAGCTTTTCAGTGCGGAGAGCAGTCCTGTGGATTTCTTCTTCAAGGGTAAAATATAAAAGGCAAGGGTGCTTCGGAATGTATCTCTACTTTTGAACCATTCAGTGGCAACTGAGGCATTATCATCTGGAAGTGTATTTGTATTAGGTTGTAAAGATATGGAAGATGTTATGATGATTGAGCTTGGTGAATAGTGAGTGGATACGGCAACACCAGATGAAGCGGTTATGGTAAATGGTCATTGCTTGCACCCATTTTATTAATGAATGAATGAATGAATGAATGAATGAATGAATGAATGAATGAATGAATGAATGAATGAATGAATGAATGAATGAATGAATGAATGAATGAATGAATGAATGAATGAATGAATGAATGAATGAATGAATGAATGAATGAATGAACGAACGAATGAATGAACGAACGAACGAACGAATGAATGAATGAACGAACGAATGAATGAATCAATGAATCAATGAATGAATGCACTGCACCATCCTCTTGCGAAAATTATACATTGACCTACTTTCGCTATTGCAAAACTGGACAGTGCTAACTTTTTTTCAGACATAAAACGTCAAAGGCACAGTTAGATGAATTATGCACAAGAAACGTAACTAGGGCATCTCTCTCCATTATGATTTATGAACAGTACTTACACAAATACTAGTACCAAATGTGGATTTCTGAGCAGCGAAATACTAAAAGCAAAAGTACACAGTACGTATACATTTTTTTCTACTTTTCTAAAGATTATTCCGTGGCAAGTGAGGCATCATTGGTAGCCCCGTGTTGTGGTTGAGAAGATAAGCACTGTTGATCTGTCCATGGTCTGAATGGACAGTGGTTATACAGGCTTCAGAGGACACAGAAGTTGATGGATTACATAATCTTCTGCTAAAGCATTTATGATGGATCCTTACTAAGAAAGATCAGTTGTAGACATCTGAAAGCGGCGTACATTGTACTGATGCAGGCATGTTGAATTGTTACTGAGCCTCTATCTCAGCGGAATCGTCGCTCGAGCAATGCCAAAAGTCTTCACAGTTATCAGGGCAATTTTTCATGGCACACAAGTATTGTGCCCGGTAAACCACTATACTGTTGACCACAACAATGCATTTCCATCTTTAGGTATACATATATCTCTTTATATATGAGATGTGGCGATGAATCAAACTGCCATAGTAGCTTTAGGTATACATTGTACATGATAGGAATGAGCAATTGGGCAATTCGAACTCTTCGAACATTCGAAGTCTTGGAATTGTCCATTCGAATATTCGAACTCTTGGAATTGTCAATTCGAACATTAGATCTCCACGAATTGTGAAGTCGAACATTAGAACTCCTCGAATTTTCGATTCGAACATTAGAACTCTTGAATTTTTAAGTAGAACATTACAGCTCGTCGTCCATAGTCCTCCTCCCTCCGAGTGGTTTAACTGTGCAGTTGAGTGCGCTAATAGGCAGCCATATTCCTTCACTTGCCTGTCGTCCTTATTATATAGATACGCCTGCAAATAAAATACCCCCGTATCATACGCTACACGCTCCAAGCCTCCGCCATCCTCATAATTGCACCGATTAGCCATCGCGCTATTTTATACTACCTACAGTGCCCGGGGCCTGAGAAAGAATGCAGCAAAATTGCACCTAATAAAATCTGTACCATAAAATATCATTACCAAGTAGGAAATGTTCCTACGGTCCCTCGGCCCACAAGATAATTGCTAACTCCTGCAGCTTGGAGCCTCTGAAATCTACTAAAATAGTTTCCCAAGGCATGAGGAAGAGTTCAGTAAAATTGCACCATTTGAAAGTATCAGTACCGAGTTTAGATACTAATATTCCTGGCGGGGACAGTATCTCCCCTGTACCATAAGATAAATTACCAAGTCCTGCAGCTAGAACCCTCAGAAATCTTCTAAAACAGTTTCCCAAGGCATGAGGAAGAGTTCAGTAAAATCAAGAAGCTTATGATCACATGTCCTTGGTAAAATTGAACCCAATCAAGCAAAAGTGAAACATCATTATCGAGAATATGTATTCCTGTGAGGGACGGCAACCCTATCTCCCCCGGCCCTTAAGATAATTGCCAACTCCTGCAGCTAGGAGCCTTTGAAATCTACTAAAAACAGTTTCCCAAGGCCTAAGAAACTTCAGTAGAATAGCACCAAATACAATCTATATCATAAATATCATTACCGCATATTAGGTATTCCGGCCAGGGACAGTAACACTACCTCCCGTGGACCATAAGATAATTGCTAACTCCTGCCTCTAAAATCTTCTAAAAACAGTTTCCCAAGCTTAAGGCCTGCGAAACTTCAGCAGAATTGCACCAAATAAAATCTATAAAATAAAATTACCAGATATTAGGTATTCCTGTAAGTGTCGAGGACAGTATACCTCCCCCGGCCCTTAAGATAATTGCCAACTCCTGCAGCTAAAAGCCTCTGAAATCTTATAAAAACAGTTTTCCAAGGCTTGCGGAAGAGTTCAGTAAAATCAAGAAGCTTTCATCACATGTCCTTGGTAAAATTGAACCCAATAAAGCAAAAGTGAATCATCATTACGGAGAATATGTATTCCTGTGAGGGACAGTAACACTATCTCCTCGGTCCATAAGATCCAATTCCTGCAGCTAGAAGCCTCTGAAATCTTTTAAAAACAGTTTCGAAGGCCTGAGAAACTTCAGAAGAATTGCACCAAATAAAATCTATACCATAAGATATTATTACCAAGATTAGGTATTCCTGTCAGAAACAGTACCTCCGCCGGCCCATAAAATAATTGCCAACTCCTGCAGCTAGACGCCTCTGAAATCCTGTAAAAACAGTTTCCTGGAACTGTCGTTTCCTGGAACTGTCGTCTCATGCCCGTTGGAGACATATAAGTCCCGGGAACGAAAAGTATGGTATAAAAACATTAAACACCTGTAGTTCGTAGAAATTCTTCGATCAGTGAATTTCTACTAACTGTTAATTCTACGTGACTGATGAACCTCTTCAACGATAAACACCTGTAACGTCTACCTGTCTAAAAAATATGGTGTGAACTTCTTGTGGTTTGTAAACGTCTATAGAAGTCTATAAACCACAAGAATTTTACACACTAATTGTTGTTGGATTGTATTTTTGAACACAAAATGCCCCAAGACGCCAAAACACACAGAAAATCAAACTGTAAACGCCAAAAGTTTGTTTTTGTTCCGTCATCCTTGCGCTATGCAACCTGGGAGATTCTACCCCTTGTCGCTATGCATCATGGGAATGTGAAAAGGTTTGACTCTCGCCAAGTCTCGCCAAAGTGACATATCGCGAGACCTTAGTCTGACCAATCAGACGCGCAGATCGGCTCAGCAGCCAATCAGGAGCCTCCGGACACCGGAAGATAATTTTGAAGTCGCCAAAACGCGGAAGCGTTTGTTTTCTTCACTTTTTGCGACATTTTCTCTCTTTTAAACGCGATTTCTGAGGAAAAAGTGAAGGTAGGAGACGTTATATGTTTTTAGTAGTTCTTTCATGGATGTTTGGGTTTGTAATGTGTTCGCACAAAGGAGAAAATAGAAGCAAACTGTTAGTAACTGTAAGGGGGAGGGGGGCTACGTTTAGCAGGTGGGTAAATTTTTGTTGTTTTGGCTCGGTAAAATTGTTATGACATTCAATATCATGTAATACTGATGCTAAAGCATTCAACTGAAAATACTATATGCCAGTTGACCAAGTTAACATGCTGTCATTGTTAACGTTTGGCAGTGTACAAATATAGCAGCTACAAACGTCAAAACTAAATGTCAGTCCTTATTTACCCGACCAAAGATTGTACTATACTAGTAGTTCGTACTCTAGAGTCTAGTACTAATGTACGAATTATTGGTTTTTAATATCTTGTATCAAAGCTGCAAGGCCCGGCATGCCATATGCATTTTCAGGACTTCAAGTTTTCGAATCAGAAAATTATTCGTAGTACGAAGGCAGCCGCCCAAATCAACATAACTCAAGCCTCACCATTTATATAAATTATGATAAATCAGTTGGCAGGTACCCCCACCCCTAGGGTACTGTGACTGCTCCTAAGTTGTTTAAGTGATCTACTATATCTACTATTAGTAATAATAATATTACACAGGCCCTCCTACAGTGTCCGCGATGTCCAGTAGTTCCAACGACAGTAACGTCCCGTCGGTGCCGTCAGACTCTCCCGGTAGCTCCGTGTCTACAGGCATGCAGGAGGAGTATGAAGAGCTGCTTAGATATGCCGTGGTCACGCCTAAGATTGATCCAAGGTTTGTCTCTACTGTAATCTGTGTCTAAAAAAAATTGTAAAAATCTATAGATTTTTTTACTTTCTTGAACTTTTGACTTGTTTGTGTAGCACAGCTCACCAGAGTACAAGGAGCTGAGCACTGATACTTGCCGTGGTCACTCCTAGTAAGAATAATATTGGCCCCAGGTTTGCCTTTACTGTAACCTAGTGTACATGTTTGGCGGTCCAGTCTCACAGGTACACAATTTGGGTATGATATAGAAGTAGGCATCCTTCCATCTTGACAGTCGTGTGGAAATGACCTGCTATATCATAGTACATGTAGCTGATGTATTGTAGGTAGAAAACACAAGCAGGTGAGAGACATTACTGGTTTAGTAAAGGAAAAACTGCCCCAATATAATGGCAGTGGCAATGTATATCCTATCAATATCATGCTCTACAGTCTACCAACCTGATAAAATTATTTTCTGACATGTATCTTCTCTCCCCCACCCTTTGTCCACCTCAGCCTTCTTCCCAGACCCATTGAGGAAATCAGTGGCATAGAAGATGAGAGGTCAGAGGTCAACACAGGCACCCAGGCCAGGCTGTATGATGAGTCATCAGGTGAGCTTACCTGTACTGATACTGACTGATAGAGACTTGGTAAATATCTCATTGATTCATGTCACTAAATAGATCATAGGATTGACTTGAAATTTAGGATTTGTAGTTCGCATTAACAGCATATAAACAGACAGTTTCTGTCGACAAAGACCAGAAGAATCACTGATTTTACTAAAGCAGATTGTAGTCTCTACCCAGATATCATTTTACATTTTACAATTTTGGCTAGTCCTCAAATTCTGTTTCCTTTGAATCCAAATTAAGAAATAATTTGAATTCATGGTGAAGGGGTCAGTGCGAATTGTTATGTGGGAGATTACACTTCAAAAATGCTCCATTAATGAATAAACTTTCAGTACTTTTCATTACAAAATTAAAACCACTGCAAAAGTGTCAAGATTTAACAACTTAATAAAAAGTTAATTAATCATTGTTCATTGTGAAATGTATGTATAGTGACTACAGAGAGTTCAGAAGGAGCCACAGCGAGAAGGGTGGAAGAGATGAAGGCCCTGCGGAGGGAAGACCTGACCCTGCCGCAGCCCGGCGCACCCCAGCCCCAGCGCCCCACCAGTCTCCCAGCATTCCTCACTTCACCCGGGGCAACCCCTGGGCAACCTCGGGTGTCAGGTGAGCTACATAGATGGCCAAGATTCTTTGACATACGTAGTAGTAGTAGTGCATGTAACTTGTTGTAAGGCTGTGTATCTAGTACATGTGTACCTTTTTTAATTATTACCTTAAGTTATAATCTTATTGTAGGAGTTTTATTTCATCTTTATCTTAGATTCTAAACCACTCACTAATGTTTCTACCATTCTTACGAATATTAATACTACAATTACAAAATGTAGTAAGACGTCATAATAAGGGAAACTATCTTCAAAATGGCTGCAAAACACAATGTTTAATTTCACAATTATTCAGTGTAATACATATATAACCCTACTACTACTACAAGTACGCAAATATCTACATGGTGTAGGATGCACCCACAGGCAAATTACTGGTATTTGCACTCTGTGGCAATTTCAGAACCCGGTGCACAAAAGTACATAAAATATATATATATAAAATATACATAAAATGAACCCAGTATTTCCAGCCCAGATATCAAGATTATCAGCCATATTCAAAGTCCTCAGTAGTATGATAACCAGGTGACTTTTCCCTGGAACTTGTCTTTCTAACTCTCTCTACACATGGTTTTCTTCTAGCAGCTTTCACAAGCATTGAGACAACAGCATGCCGATTCATCTGCCTACTTTTAGTAGCAGCACGGAGTGGGGTCATACCAGTGTTGTCCCGTAAAGAAATGTCTGCCCCTGCTTCAATAAGTGTCTTAACAACTTTTGCATGCCCTTTTCTTGCAGCTATCCACAACGGTGTCTTTTTTTCTGTGTCCGCTTTGTTTAAATCAGCACCTTCTTGTATCAAAGCGCTAACAATCTCTGCGTGTCCCTGCCAAGCTGCCACCCAAATCGGAGTTCTACCTTTGTCGTCCTGTTTGTCACGGTCTGCCCCGTTGTCTAGCAGTAGTTTTGCTGTCATCGCACAACCTTCTTTGCAGGCAGACTGCAGTAATGTGTGGCCAAGTCTGTCGGTAGAGTCAATCTTATTCTTAGCTCCAGCTCTGCACAAAATCTCGAAAATTCTGACGTGATCACACCATTCCTCGTACCACTCACGCCTGCACTCTACCATGGAAGACTCAGTGTCAATGCCTTTTTCAAAGTCTGTGAGCTTTTTAACAGACAAAGAGAGCGGGCTGCCACCAAACGTACCCAGAGGTTTATTTACATTGTCATTGGCGCATGAGTGTTTGGCTGGGCGGATAAGCGTAGTCAGCATCAGCCAGTCAGACTTCTCTATAGCTATCCGAAGGGGTGTTTGTGTTAGTTTTGTATCTGCCATGTTGACATCCGCACCGCCACACACAAGTGTCCTGCACACTTCCAGGTACCCAAGAGAAGTAGCATGGAGAAGTGGAGTAGAGCCATTCGCGTCAACCATGTCTGGATTTGCTCCAGCCTGCAACAGAAGTGTAACGATGTTAGCATGTCCGCCCTTCACTGCATCCCAGAGCGGTGTTTCTCCCTCGGAGTTCTCTGTGTTCACCTGTACACCTGCCTGTAGCAGGGTCTTCACCTTGTCTTCATCACCTGTCCAGGCTGTTATCCTTAACAGCGCATCTCTCCAGGTGTCTCTCAGTTCCTCGTAGGTTTGTGACGATTCTTCATCTGTTTCCTGCGTTTGTGTACACTCCTCTGAGTCTTCATCTGTTTCCTGGGTTACTGACAACACAAAGACGTCCATAGCTTCCTCCACTATCTCTGACACTTCTTCTTCAAGCTCTTCCATTGTCAGAATTTTCACCTCTAAGTCTAAGGGACACTTGAGCCCAATGTTTTTAAACTCTGCCTGTAAGTCAGCAGTCAGCTTGCCACTTTCTTGGTACCTGTTTAATTCGCTGATGCTTTCGGCAGTTTTGGGAAACATCTGTACATAGATTGAAGATTTCCATGTTTTACCAGTATCGAAATCTTTACATTGTTTACTGATGAATTCCTTGCACAAGTCTAGACTACTATCATCAATTTGTAAAATCGTATCCAAAATTTCTTCCCGAGCAGACGATTCTACCACAAGATAGTAGCATTTCCTAAGCCTTTCCCTTGCAAGCTGCATGCTACTAACTGCATTCAGTACGAATTTCGGGTCGCTCGAATGTCTGTCACTTTGTTGACTCTGTTTTCCTTTAGTGCCCTTTTTTGTTTTCTTACCAGTTTTCTTCTTGACTCTCAAGTTTTTTGTGCCTTTAGATGATTCAGACGAATGCGATGAGCTTGTGGCAGTAGATGGAACTGATGGGGTATTTTCAATCACGCTTTGCTTTGATCGTGGGCTAGATTTTAAGACCCTCTCTTCTGTGGAGTATTGTTTAGGCGGTGAACTCGAGAATCCTGTAGAAATATCCGATAACGGAGGCGTCACCGTCTCAACAACTCGACACTTTTCAGTGACGTCTGTGTTGAGTTGTGGATCAGCATCCTGTAGATATGTGTACTTGTCTTTCAGTCTATCCACGAGGTCTTGTCTTTTTATCTTCTTCAAAGCAAGCAGTAGTTCCTGTACTGTCGCCTGCTTTCCTTCTTGTTGCCTCCATTTTTCCAGCATGGTACGGTTCCGCCATATCAGGTGAATTGTCGGACTCTTAGTAACCATTTCCTCGACAATGTTGTACTTCAGCCCTAATTCTAAGGCAAGCTGTGTCCATTCCTCCCCCAGCTCTGACTGTAGAATGTCAAAAGCTGCGTCCAACTCTGGCTCTGTGTTACCTCCGGTCGCCATCTTGCCGTAGTCTTGTAGACTAAGTGAAATATATTCCCTGCTGACTCACTCCTCTGTTGGGTTGAAGTTGTTTGCCCAGTAAAATGACACCACTTGCCATGTCAAGGTTTTCTCTCTCCGGATTTGCTGTATGTTCACAAAGCCCAGTTCCAGATATAAAGCCAAGTGTAACCAGTCCTCACCAAGGTGGTTTTGTGAGTTCTTGAAAGCTGCATCCATTTTGTTTTCTGCTTACTTCCTTCTGCGTTAACTTTGTTACTCAGTCCAGTGGCAGGGGTGAATCTAATTATATTTGCAGTTCCTACAGGTGCGAACAGAAGTTGTTTGGCCAGAAGTTGTCCAAGACAAGAATTCAGTTAAACATTGAGCAAAGCAAAGTAAGCAAACTTCGGAACCATATAAGCGTCACGGACGTGTGTAAGATAACGGTTTACCGCCTCAGTCAAGGAATGATAAAAGACCCTGGCTTTGTTGCATAGCTAACAGGTCACCCATGCAGTGCCATTGCATAACAAACACATGCTAATGGGGCAAACCAGCTTTTCCAGTGTTGTCATATTGCAAGCCTTGAAACATGACATACCTTGGCATTGAAGTTGTTGAATACTCAGAATAGTTTGCATATCAGGTGACTGACGTGTACGGAAAGTCCCATTTCGACACTGTCTTAAAATAAACCCATTCAGGTTCGTTACGGTAGTATTTACATATAGGATCTTCAATGCCTTAGCCTTATACATTGTTTGCTTTGCTTTAGCAGGTGTGTTTTCCTTTTATTAGGTGCTTATTAGTCGTACATACATGTATGTACATGTATGCCATCCCAATGGCAAGTTGCTCTGTTAACCCCTGACCTGTCCATGGGCTGTTCTACAATCCCGAGTCTTGCCAAGAATTGGCATGCCAGAATGATCAGTATGAATGATGATCGTGGGCATTAAAAGGAAGACAAGTACTGATGGTTCAGTTCAATTCAAAGTTGCTAGGTGGAGCCTCTATACTAACTCACATTCTGTATTATTTCTGCATTATTTCCCCAACTGCAGCTATCACCCCAGGCCTCTCCATACGCTCCACTGATGTGGCTCCGCCCGAGACGCCACAGAGCGAAGAATCGTCGACGGTCAGCGAATGTTCTCCGTACAGCGAGCGGTCAGCGGCGTCGCCGGCTGTGGACCAGGATGTGGCCAGGATAGAGGCACATCTGGACAACTGGGCACTGGACCTCAAGAGGGGCGTTCTGGTAAGGGACTCTAACCTGGTGTCCAGTCTATTGTAGTTGGGATGGGTTCTCTTCCCTGCCGAATACAGCTAGGTTTCCCAGTAGGTCTTTAATGACAGGAGTTTAAGCCTTGATGTACCACAATATTGTGGCCAGGATAGAGGCACATCTGGACAACTGGGCACTGGACCTCAAGAGGGGTATACTGGTAAGGGACTCTAACCTGGTGTCAAGTCTATCGCAGTTGCTCACTCACTCACTCACTCACTCACTCACTCACTCACTCACTCACTCACTCACTCACACTCACTCAATCACTCTCACCCACTCACTCCCTCACTCACTCACTCACTCACTCACTCACTCACTCACTCACTAACTCACTCAGCTTCGCATGCCCCTGCAGCCTGGATGTCAGTTTGTTTTAGCCATGTTTGAAATATAGTGCAGATTCCTCAAGAGAAATTCAACAAACTGAAGAACAGTACACTGCAACAGATTTGCGCAGTAATTTCTGACCTGCATGAATTAAACAATTGTTTTAATATTTTATGTCTTATCATACTTCATTCTGCCACCAGGCTGAGTTTACGCAGGCCAAGATTGCTCTGATCGAGAGACACCGACTTGAAATGAGGGCAGAGCAGGAAAGGTAAATTATTATGTGTAATTCACATTTTCTTATAGAAGTACATTGTAGCACAAAGATTAATGGTTGTCAGGAACGTGAGGTTTCACAATTGCGGGTATTGGTGGGTGTTAGTCTGAGCAGATAGAGAAGGGACATTGACAGACGGACTGGGAATTGAATTTGTCATGTAAGAATGAGTCAACACAATTTATCCATACAGTAATTGTTCACTGGGAAATTTGTAGCAGCCTATGAAATCATGTTGCAGTGCCATGACTGGAATTTCCTTGTGGCAACTGTGCACTGTCCTTGGTGCTGAACATGCCCTCCGTTAGTAGACTGAGATCTCATTCTTTTGGAAGCGGTGTGTGTGTGTGAGACTGTTAATTGGTCACGATGTTAAACATTTTTTAGACATGCCCGAGAGGTGAGCCAGCTGCAGAACGAGATAGAGAGCCTAAAAGAGCTACTCCACACGTACGAGCAGTCCATCCAGCGGAAGGACCAGGTCATCTCTAACCTCACACAGGCGCTGCAGAGACAGAAGGAAAAGTTTGACATGCTGCGGGCCATGGTGCAGTGGAAGCTGCGACACGCTGACGAGAGGAGGGAGGTGAGAAATCTGTGGCATATCCAGAATTGTGTTGCAATTTTTGTCGCCATACGTTGCAACTTTTGTATCCATATGCTGCATGTTGTATCCTTATCCATAAAATTTGTTACCGGTATATTTAGAAACCATGCTCAGATAATATTCTGGGTTCACACTAGAGCTGTGTACCGGTACGCAGTACCGATACTGTACCGGAAAAATTGATTAGGTACAGGTCCAAAATACCTAATCCCTCAGTACCGGTACTGTACCTAAACAATTTCACACCAATTTTATGCCTATTTGTGACCTCAAATGTGTAAATAGCTGGTTAACAATGGGTCCCTGTGTGTTCATGAAAACAAAAACATCTTTACTTTTACCTGTATTTTATCTGAACATTCTCCATAAACAAAAATTAAACCTATATCAATGTTTTTCTAGTTATTACAGGAGTTCAGAAGAGCATATACACTGGTCGAATTGTTCAGGTACAGGTTCAGGTCCGGACCTGTACCTAAACCTGTGTACCTGTACCTGTACCTAAAATTTGTTTAGGTACACAGCTCTAGTTCACACATATCGAAAATCGTGCTTTCTTCAGAATCATGGTCAGGAATGGTTCTGGATAGTCTGATTTTTTCAGTTTACAGAATTGCAGGTTGCTTAATGTTTCTTCCTGCAATATATTTTTTTTTCATTCATCAAAACATAAAGACATAACAAGGACAGTGTGACGATGCACTCAAGTTAACAACTTATATTAACAGCGCCACACAACAAAAAAGGTACAATTAACATTTAAATATACAAAGTTGACATATCTGTGCACCGTAGTCCCACCACCCCAAGACATTAAAATGTTAAATTAAATGCTAACAGAGCTATTTGAAAGATAAGATTACATGGTAACCTCCTATATCTCATTGCCGGAAGAACATCCGCCAATCAGAGCTAGGAGGGGATTTTACGCCCATTAACACTTACGTAGTATTTGGACTTCTATATATTGAATATTGAAAATGTCTTTGAAAAATGCAGACTGCAGATGGGTATTTCTAACACTGCACTATTTTCTCCCCTCCCCAGGCGTTTGCGAGTAACCTGGCCCGTAAGCACTATGAACAGAAGATCTCAGCGCGTGTCTGGTCAGCCTGGCACGGCGTTATCGAGGCCAAGTGGAGGCAACGTGTGGAGCGGGCGTGTCAGGCCAAGGCCCAGGAGGTCTGCATGCAACTGACTAATGATTACGAAGCAAGGATATCATCAGTAAGTAGTCCTGCTACCTATACTTCAACTTCAAGCCCCTGTCACATATAGCCAAATTAGGCCCCCGAACTCCCCCCAACCCTGGTTAGGAGTAGGTTGGGAGCAAGGTCTGCTGTATTTGGCTGTTGTTCTGTGAGGTCGGCTACTGTTCAGCTGTGGGAGCCAATGTTTCAACATGCTTACATTATACTTTCATGTATGTACATGTAGTCCAGAGACCTACTACACTTTTTGTCAGTATATTAATTTTGATTAAATAAAATACAACTTAAAATCAACTCTTTCAGTTTTACAATGAATCTGATCATGATCATGAATTAGTGGTATATAAGAACGTGATCAAATTTTTATGATAAATCAAAGATTGATGTTCAGCTTGGTGGAATCATTAATTTAGTTCTGAAAGTCTACCAAATGCTGCCAAGAAAAAGGGCAATTTACTTTCTTTTAAGGACTTCAGTGTTAACAAACTCAAATTGTTTCAGCTTGCCATTAAGTAAAATTAATGTAGAGACATGTTAAACAACATGCAGCCATTTATTCTCTTTACCCTGTTCCCTGCCCTACAGTTGAATGAAGCCCTAGAGGCGGCACGGAATGAGGTAAGCCGTCTCCACGGTGACCGAGACCAGTACGAGGAGACGATGAAAAAAGCGTTCATGCGTGGTGTCTGCGCCCTCAACATGGAGGCCATGTCCATGTTCCACCAGGGCGAACAGGGTCGGTATTGACGGAAAACATATTTTTGCTCTATCATGAAAGTCTCTGTTGGTAGTTACATGTTTAAAGTCACTCAGGTCTTCCTCAGTAGACTGTACCAGTGAGGCTTGTCACGTAGCTTTTTTGAAGTGTGACATCAAAACTGGGTCAAAGGTATCTGACAGGTTGAAAGCTCTTGAGGTGTTGGATCAAAAATTTTAACTTTAAACATATTTTTGCTCTGATTATTCTTCAAATATCAAGTTCTTGCTCTAAAAAAGTGTGCTAAGTCCAGTGGTTTAAGCAACCCAAAAGGTTGGGAGTTCAAATTCCCGCTGTTGTCACTCACCCGACTTGCACATGTTCATGCGCGGTGTCTGTGCCCTCAACATGGAGGCCATGTCCATGTTTCACCAGGGAGAACAGGGTGGGTTTGGTTTTGCTCCGTTTGTTCTTCAAGTCTTTAGTTTAAGTTAAAGGAAAGCACCAGATAATTTCATTGCACTTGTTGAGCTCTTCTCTGTTGAGTTTCTTCTATTCTACTAACTGTTAATCTATACCTGACTGGTGAACCTCTTCTACAATAAATTCTTGTTCCTCTAAAAAAGGGGTTAGAGGCAACCCTGCCTCTGGACCAAGAGGTTGAATCCCAGCTGTTGTCGCTCACCTGACATGCATGCTTTTTTTTAAGTAAGAAGAATTTACCGTAGAAGAGGTTCACCAGTCACGTATACATTAACAGTTGGTAGAGTAGAAGAAACTCAACATGAAAGAGCTCAATAAGTGCAAGTAAGTACACATGTACAGTGCTTTAGAGAAATCTTTAGTCAGAATCTGATTATTGTCTAATATGATGTTATTTACATGTAAGTCTTATTGCTTTCCTTTTCCACCCCAGGAGGTAGGCCAGCAGACCCCCAGGCTGAGGAAGGGGGTACAGTAGTGCCCCACGAGGAGGTGTACCAGTCAGGACCCCCCCATGCAGCCCCTCCCCGCGTGGTCACCAGCCAGCAGCCCCCTCCCAGACCCACCGTCAGCTTCAGTACTGCCAGACCTGCTACCAAAACTGTAAGACTTAGTTACAGAAATTAACGTTTGTTTTTGTAGTTAGTGGGGCACTGGTCTCATTCATAACTTATTATTTGAAAATTTGTCATATTTATTAAAAGTGCTCAATCACATTTGCTTTTTGATCAGAAACTGGTGGCATTCATTGAATGGTGATAGATGCATGTACATGTATTACATGTATATGATTCAGCATTGTTTTTACAGAAAATTCTGTCTTTAGGCTTTACTCACAATTGGTTCTTTCACAGCCTGCTTGAAAATTCCATAAAATTCTCATCTCAACCTTGACAAGTATTTATGTAAGTTTTTTCATAATACGTGTATATATCTTGTAGCTAATACTTTGTTTAGATCCAAATTTTCTGTGGTTAATGTTATTTTGCTGTGTCACTGTTTCAAGGCACCGAGCTCAAGGTCATCCACAGCCCAGAAGCCGGGGTCAAGGACAATCACAGCCAAGGTCACAGCCAAGCAAGAGGGCCCACGACTGGGGCATGCTGGGAAGGGTCCGGTTGCCATGGGACTGGCCCCGCCCATGAGTTCAGTCATGGTGGAGAGGCATCATCCTGTCACTCAGGTGGTTGGCATGGCAACAGTCAAAACAAAACAATTTGCATGTTGTATTGTTGATAGGGAAGCACTTTGGCAAAATATATTGCGCCTGTGTAAAATTAATGGTTACCTGACCTCAGTTGGGGAGGTAAAAGGCAGTGGAAGGAGAGGGATGGGCTCCACCTTCCAATACTGTGCCTCAGACACAGTGCATAACAACCCACTGTCCCTACAGCCTCAAAAAGTAACTGTTGTTAAGTGAAGGCATTCAGCACCAAGGACAGAGACGCTCATAATGTTTTCTAACTATCTGCCAGTGGATTGTTCACACCTCCACTATTGGTCCCAACAAAACGAGTGAACAACACGATCTGAATTGCCCCTAAAGCCTGAAAAGGGTCATCTTGAATTTTAGATGCAGTTTTTGATGAATGTATAGTGCTAAAACTCTAAATTGTCTGTGTGTGTATGTGTGTGTGTGTGTGTGTGTGTGTGTGTGTGTGATGTGTGTGTGTGTGTGTGTGTGTGATATGTGTGTGTGTGTGTGTGATATGTGTGTGTGTGTGTGTGTGTGATATGTGTGTGTGTGTATGTGATATGGTGTGTGTATATTGTGAATGTGATACATGTATTTTTAATTTTTGCAAAATTTATGTAATATCTTGTTTTCCATCCACAGCAAACTATTGGGCATGCCACAGCTGCGCGGTATCCCAGAATGCCTTCCCAGTCCCAGCAGCCTTTGCAGCAGTCCCAGTCTGGGATCTACCAGAGAAAGGTCGCAGGTCAAGCTGGTAAAGTTCATCTGGGGACACCGAATGTTCACTCTGTTAAAGTGGTGCAGTAGTTTCCATGAAAAGTGAAGTATATTATTATTATTAAAGTTACGTTTACTGTTAAGTTTACTGTTCAGTTCTGCCAGGGTATTAGTAGTTCATTGACACAACATTTTCTGTATCTGTATAGCCGGTATAACCGCCTTTCGGCGTAACACACCAGCTTCTGTATCTGTATAGCCGGTATAACCGCCCTTCGGCGTAACACACCAGCTTCTCAGGCACACGGCGTGGCGGCAGCTGGCTACATTTCACCGGTCGACTTGTTACACCTAACCCTTGAACTTCTAGCTCTAGACATTGTTTAAAGCAATCTAATGACAATGCCCCTACTGTACTTGGTGACAGCGAGTTCCACTCTGCGATACTTCTAGGAAAAAATTTCCTACATAAACATGCAGTTATCTTGTCATAAAAAAGGCAACATAGTGTAAAAGAAACTTACCTCTCATTAAAAATAGAAATTCTGAGAGTGGCTGGAGAATTTGACACAAAATATTGGGTTACAACTTAAAAGGTTTCATATCAATGCCATTTCATACTGTACTTTTTATCTGTGCGGCTTTGTATCTGTATAGCCGGTATAACTGCCATTTGGCGTAACATGTACACCAGCTTCACAGGCATGCGGTGCGGCGGCAACTGGCTACATTACACCGGCTTTGATTAAAATCCAGCAACTTTTCAATTGATGGTGGCAGCGACTTGCTCAAAATGTTCACTTTACATACAGTCAACTTCAAAAGCCTTTAGAACACATTATTTCATATTTTTATGTGTACATGTATATACCTCATTTTTTAATGTTCGAATATTAAGTGATTTTTCAATTACTAGTAGTTCATTGACACAATTTGTAAGCTGTACAAAATGTAATGGTTGTGACATGAATGGTTAATTAATATTATTAGTTAATGTAAAGTTTTCTTGATTGTTATGAATTAAAAAATGTTTTCACCGGGTTACGTGTCCTTTTGCATAAAGTGATGTCACAGAGACGGTTGGTCGCCCATTCCTTCACAAAGGCTGGGGTCGTGTGGCGTAGCAGTAGCGTGTTCGGCTCAGACCCAAGAGGTCCTGCGTTTAAATCCTGTCCGATGTCACCGATAGTTGTGCCCCTTGGGAAAGATACTCGACTTTCCTCACTTCACTCAGGTGTAAATGAGTACCTCGCTTCGGTTAGGAAGGTCCCTGGGATGGGAGGTCAAATGAACTGGTCGGCTGTTTGGGAGAGCCACACCCCACCAGACTTATCGAAAAGAGTAGGAGTCCTGCCTGGTGCACTTGTGAGTGGTTCAAACCTTACAGTCTGGTCCCAGGTTTGACATCTTGAATCTTCATACTATTAAATAAATGAATACTGTGCAGGTGAAGATCTGGGTAAATGCATTGTGCTGTAATTGACAATTTGATGAATTTTATATCTGACATGTACCAACACGGGTGAACTCTGCAAGCCAAAACAGTACTCAATTGGCAGTTGTAACTCAATCTCAATCATGTGAGCGATAGGGTTAGGTTTAGGGTCAACCCTATTGTTTTGAAGGTCTCAGGCCTGGGGTTTTTGTGATTGAGAAGTGCTTATTTATAGTCAGTAACAAAGCTGCAGTGTTATTTTACTGGGAAAACAACTTCAATTCAACAGAAAAGTGAGGAATATATTTCACAGCGTCCACCACACTACAGCAAGATGGCAGCGGTTGGTTTTAACGCAGAGACAGAGTTGAAGGCAGCTTTTGACACTATACAGTCAGACCTGGGGGATGACTGGATCGACCTAGGCTTAGCATTAGGACTGAAGTATAACGTTGTCGAGGAAATGGTTAATAGGAGTCCGACAATTCACCTGATATGGCGGAACCGTACCATGCTGGAAAAATGGAGGCAACAAGAAGGAAAGCAGGCGACAGTACAGGATCTTCTGCACGCTTTACAGAAGATAAAAAGACAAGACCTCGTGGACAGACTGAAAGACAAGTACCCAGACCTACGGGATGCCGATCCACAGCTCAACACAGACGTCACTGAAAAGTGTCGAGTCGTTGAGACGGTGTCCCCACCATTATCGGATATTTCAACAGGATTCTCGAGTTCACCGCCTAAACAACACTCCACAGAAGAGAGTGTCTCTAGCCCACGATCAAAGCAAGGCAAGTTTGAATATACCACACTGCCGTCTACTGCCACAAGCTCATCGCAGGCATCTGAATCATCGATAGGCAAAGAAAACAAGAAAGTCAAGAAGAAAACTGGTAAGAAAACAAAAAAAGCCACTAAAGGAAAACAGAGTCAACAAAGTCACAGACATTCGAGCGACCCGAAATTTGTACTGAAAGCAGTTAGTAGTATGCAGCTTGCAAAGCAAAAGCGTAAGGAGTGCTACTATCTTGTGGTAAAATCATCTGTTCGGGAAGAACTGTTAGAGGCCCTATCACAAATCGATGGTGGTAGACTAGACTTGTGCAAGGAAATCATCCTTAAACTTTGCAAAGATTTCGAAATTGGTGAAATGTGGTCATCTTCAATCTGTGTACAGATGTTTCCCAAAACTGACGAAAGCATCAGCGAATTAAACAGGTACCAAGAAAGTGGCGAGCTAGCCGCAGACTTACAGGCAGAGTTTGAGAACATTGGGCTCAACTGTCCCTTAGAGGTGGACGTTTTGACAATGGAGGAGCTTGAAGAAGAAGTGGAAGAGATAGTGGAGGAAGCTATGGACATGTTTGTGTTGTCAGAAACGCAGGAAAAATGTGACGACTCTGAGGAGTCTACACAAACGCAGGAAACAGGCGAAGAATCTACACAAACCTACGAGCACCTGAGAGACGCCTGGAGAGATGCGCTGTTAAGGATCACAGCCTGGACAGGTGATGAAGACAAGGTGAAGACCCTGCTACAGGCAGGTGTACAGGTGAACACACAGAACTCCGAGGGAGAAACACCGCTCTGGGATGCAGTGAGGGGAGGACATCCTAACATTGTCAAACTCCTGCTGCAGAAATGGGCAGACCCTGGAGCGGGGGCAAACACAGCAAGTGTTATTGGGCAGACTCTACTGCAGCTGGCAGCTCAGAGTGGTAATACAGAGATTGTGGGCATGCTGACACAAGCAGAGGCGGACTTGGACAAAGCAGATGATGAGGGGAGAACTGCACTTTTCGTTGCAGCTGAGAGTGGAAATGCAGAGATGGTGAGCACCTTGATACAAGCGGGGGCGGACTTGAACAAGGCAAACAGCATGGGGAGGACTCCACTGTGGGCGGCAGCTGAGAATGGACATGCAGAGGTCGTGAGCATCTTGATACAAGCAGGGGCTGACTTGGACACAGCAGGTGTTCTGGGAAGGACTCCGCTGTGGGTGGCGGCTAAGAGGAAACATGCAGAGGTTGTTGGCATCTTGATACAAGCGGGGGCAGACTTGAACAATGCAGATGATGAGGGAAGAACTGCACTATGGGTGGCGGCTGAGAGAGGAAGTGCAGAGATTGTGAGCATCCTGACACAAGCGGGGGCGGACTTGGACCAGGCAAACAGCATGGAAGAGACCCCACTCTGGGTGGCAGCGTGGAGTAAACATGCCGAGATCGTGAGCATCTTGATACGAGCTGGGGCGGACTTGAACAAGGCAGACATTATGGGAAGGACGCCACTGTGGGTGGTGGTTGAAAGTGAAGGTGTAGTCATTGTGAGCATCTTGATAAAAGCGGGGGCGGACCTGAACAAATCAAACAAGGATGAACAGACACCATTGTGGACAGCTGCACACTGTGGGAACATGGAAGCTGTGAAAGTACTTATTGAAGCGGGGGCAGATGTTTCTATACCAGACAAAACTGGCAAAACTCCCTATCAAGCTGCCATAGAAATGGGACACAGTGATGTTGCTAAGGTGATTGAGGAATGCTTAATTAAAAATACATAACCTGATACTAACAGAGACTATACTGGAGTTAGAAAATTACTTGATATCTGCATTAAATGAGTTGCAGAATGGCACACTACAAGAGGATAACATTTAGTTGCCAATTGTTTCATTTATGAATTGCAGCAGTAATTGATAATTTACTGAATTGAAGATTTACCTAGTCTTCTTGCACATGTCAATGAAATATAATGTAAGAAACTTACATTTGGGGTCAATTCTTTCTTGCTCCTGACCAGAGTGAAGAGCGAAGTCACAGAAATCATGATATTAAGCACAGTTTGTACTGGGCTGCGAATGATGTACAGCTAGAAAAACTAGATGTACATCTAGATGCTTACCTCGAATGACTTTTCACTTACTAGACAAATTTCCAAAAAGGACTCGATACCCCTGGGTATATCACCTGTTACCGCGACTCATTGACGTACTTACTTCCAAGTGACTTGTTAATTAATCTGTTATGTACAGGCCAGTGACCTCGGTCTTTTGTTAGTTTGTAAATTTAGACACTCAGTAAAGTCTAACATGGCACGGTTAACCGTAAAGTTTGTTTACGGTAAATATTTCACTAAACGTCTGGTGTAAGCCACTTAGCCTGGGTACCAATTACCTTAGGGTTGGCTGGAGGGCGACTTTCCTAGCCTCTACCAGGCACCGCGGATCGCTGGAAAAATAGTAGAAATTGGCCGAAATAAAGGAATAATACCAGGGGAGTTAGCTGGCCAGAGAAGCTCCAATTTGTCGCATGTTGAGCTTCTCTGGCCGGCTAACTCCCCTGGTATTATTCCTTTATTTCGGCCAATTTCTAATATTTTTCAAGCGATCCGCGGTGCCTGGTAGAGGCTACGATTTTCCTACCCCCGACCTAAGCACAGGCGAGCTATACCCACAGACATGTCCCCAGTCTTCTACTGCGCACCGACCGCATTGTGAGCGAACAAACCTAAACTGTCTGCAACTACATCGTTGTAGAAAAATAACATTTGAAAGCAAATGCATGCTGTTTAAGGTAAACATAAAAATCTACCCCCGACGCGCGGGGCCGAAACACTACGGTTTTGCGGCCCAAAACACTACCAGCGCCGAAGGCTCTGAGCTCACATGGGTCTGGTTACCAGTCTTCTATATCTTCTATAGCTACTGTACAGACAAGACAAAAGAACGTCTACTCACCTTACCTGAGTCTTGGTCAGCGATAAGGTTAGGTTTAGGGTCAACCCTACTGTTTTGAAGGGCACAGGGTCTTTTGTAATTGAGAGGTGCTTATTTATACACAGTAACAAAACAGCGGCGTTATTTTACTGGCCAAACAACTTCAACTCAACAGACGAGTGCGTCACCAGGGGATATATTTCACTTAGTCTACCCCACCGAGGCAAGATGGCGGCTGGAGGTGACACAGGGACAGAGTTGGTCGCAGCTTTTGACATTCTACAGCCAGACCTGGGGAAGGACTGGATACGGCTTGCCTTAAAGCTAGGACTGAAGCACAACGTCATACAGGAAATCCGAAATGAGAGGGAGGTAAATCTAGTGAGGCGAAGCCGTACTGTGCTGGAAAAATGGAGGCGAGTAAGTGGGAAAAGGGCAACACTGGAGAAATTGCTGACAGCTTTGAAGAGGACAGGAAGGCGAGACCTTGTGGACAGAGTACAAGAGAATCTTTGCCTTAAGGGTCTGTCTTCTTTACAGCTGGGCGAAGAGCAAGAAGTCAAGACATCCTCAAGAGATAAAGACAGGGAAAACAAGGAAAGTACTATCAAAGGAGTCAAGACGACCTCAAGAGATAAAGACAGGGAAAACAAGGAAAGTACTATCAAAGGAGTCAAGACGACCTCAAGAGATAAAGACAGGGAAAACAAGGAAAGTACTATCAAAGGAGTCAAGACGACCTCAAGAGATAAAGACAGGGAAAACAAGGAAAGTACTATCAAAGGAGTCAAGACGACCTCAAGAGATAGAGACAGAGAAAACAAGGAAAGTACTATCAAAGGAGTCAAGACGACCTCAAGAGACGAAGACAAAGAAAGCAAGAACAGTACCAAAGCAGGTAAGAAGGAAGGAAAGAAAGGAAAATCAAGCTCCAGGTATACGTCAAGTGCAAGACTTGATGTGAAACGTTTAGAGTTCGCACTAAATGCTGTACGAAGCCAACAGCTTGCTAAAGAAATCCGTATAAAGTGTTGCTATCTAAAGATTCAAAGCTGTCTCAAGGAGGGACTTGTGTCAGGTGCTCATCAGCACTTAGAGAAGAAAGCCATGGAAGACGTTTCACAATTCTACAATGCTAACAAAGACTTGAGCAGAGCCGCTATTATCAAAGTGTTCAAACAACACAAAGTTTTACGAAAAGGGCTTAAAATTGCCAAAATGTGGCCGTCTTCAATCTATGTCCAAATCTTCCCAAAAACTGACGAATATATCAAAGCACTGATTGAATACCTAGAGAGTGGCCAGCTCACCGCAGACTTACAGACAGAGTATGAGAAAATTGGGTTCAGTGGCCCTTTGCAGGGGGATGTCCGGTCAATGGAACAGCTCAAAGAAGAGGTGGCAGAGATAGTGGAGGAAGCTATGGACGTTTTTGTGTTGTCAGAAACAAAGGAAACAGCTGAAGACTCCGTGGAGTCTACACAAACGCAGGAAACAGATGAAGACTCCGTGGAGTCTACACAAACGCAGAAAACAGATGAAGACTCCGTGGAGTCTACACAAACGCAGGAAACAGATGAAGAATCGTCACAAAGCTACGATGAACTGAGAGACGCCTGGAGAGATGCGCTGTTAAGGATCACAGCCTGGACAGGTGATGAAGACAAGGTGAAGACCCTGCTACAGGCAGGTCTACAGGTGAACACACAGAACTCCGAGGGAGAAACTCCACTCTGGGATGCAGTGAGGGGCGGACATCCTAACATTGTTAGACTTCTGCTGCAGAAAGGGGCAGACCCAGCAGTTGCAAATCTGGCAAGTCGTATGGGGAAAACTCCACTGTGGTTGGCAGCTCAGAGTGGTAATGCCGAGATCGTGAGCATCTTGATACAAGCGGGGGCAGACTTGAACAAGGCAGATAATGAGGTAGGGACTCCGCTATTGGTGGCGGCTTTGAAGGGATGTGCAGAGATTGTGAGCATCTTGATACAAGCAGGGGCAGATTTGAACAAGGCAGACGATAGGGGAGAGACTCCACTGAGGGTGGCGGCTGAGAGGGGACATGTCGAGATTGTGAGGAACTTGACACAGGCAGGGGCTGATGTGAACAAGGCAGACAATGAGAGAAGGACTACACTGTGTGCAGCGGCTGAGAAAGGACATGCCGAGATTGTAAGGATCTTGATACAAGCGAGCGCAGACTTGAACAAGGCCGATGATGATAAAAGGACTCCACTGTGGTGGGCAGCTGAGAATGGGCATGCGGAGGTCGTGAGCATGTTGGCACAAGAGGGGGCTGACTTGAACAAGGCTGATGTCTTAGGAGTGACTCCACTGTGGGAGGCAGCTTGGAGTGGACATGTAGAGGTCGTGAGCATCTTGGTACAAGCAGGGGCGGACTTGGACAAGGCAGATGTCTTAGGAGTGACTCCACTGTGGGTGGCGGCTAAGAGAGGACATGCAGAGATTGTGAGCATCTTGACACAAGCAGGGGCAGACTTGAACAACGCTGATGATAAGAGGAGGACTCCACTATTGGTGGCAGCTCTGAATGGACATGCAGAAATTGTGAGCATCTTGATACAAGCGGGGGCCGAATTGAACAAAGCAAACAGCATGGGAAGGGCTCCACTGTGGGCGGCAGCTGAGAATGGACATGCAGAGGTCGTGAGCATCTTGGCACATGCAGGGGCTGACTTGAACAAGGCAGATGATGAGGGAACGACTCCCCTATCAGTGGTGGCTTGGAGTGGACATGCAGAGGTCGCGAGCGTCTTGATACAAGCGGGGGCCGAATTGAACAAGGCAGATGATATGGGGAGAACGCCACTGTGGGTGGCGGCTGAGAAAGGACATGCTGAGATTGTGAGCATCCTGACACAAGCGGGCGCAGACTTGAACAAGGCAAACAGGGATCAAAAGACGCCATTGTGGAGAGCAGCACACCATGGAAATATGGAAGTTGTGAAAGTACTTATTGAAGCAGGGGCAGGTATTTCTAAACCAGACAAAACTGGAAAGACTCCGTATCAAGTTGCCATCGAAATGGGACACAGTGATGTTGCAAAGGTAATTGAGGATGGCCATAGTTAAAAAGACATGAAGGAAACTGATACTAACAGAGAATTGGACAATGCTGTAGTTTGAAAATTAATTGATATCTGCATTGCGGAATGGAATACTACATCTGTAAGGTAAATTAGTTGGCAGGCCATTCACTTATGAATTGCGATTTGATGATCTACAGAATCGGACATTTAGTCTTCTTGCTTGTCAATGTTTTGGGTAATTTCAGAGCGAAGAGCAAAGTCTCAAACGAGTCACAGAAATCATGAAATTGAGCACATTATGTACAACTAGAAAAGCTTACCATTAAATTTTGATTTCAGAAATTAATGCTTGCCTCCAATGACTTTTCACTTACTCTACTAGACAAAAACACTAAAAAGGCCTCGATACCCCTGGGCATATCACCTGTTACCGAGACAAAGGTATCGGGATACCCTGACTTCTTTACTTTCAAGACTTAAATGACTTATTTGTTTGTTATGTTCAGGCCAATGACCTCGGTTTTTTGTGAAGAAGTAATTTGAGACACTCATTAAAAGCTTAGACATGGCACGGTTAACCGCAAAGTGTGTTTAGTGCAAATATTTGGTTTCTCCTTGCCTAGTTTATATACTGTAAGAGGGACAACTCACTCTCCCTCTCTCTAACTGTAAGAGGAACAAAGATATATAAAATCTTGTGTGTATCTTTATACAAGTAACACACAAGATTTCACCAGAAATTTAACAAGAAGGATTCACGTACTGTTAAATTACTGGCTAGTGCACCTTGGTTGTCCCCAAATGGCTACTTCAGTGTGCTTAAGGTTAACCTTCTCCCATCAGTGGGGTCGTGTGGCGTAATGGTAGAGTGTTCGGCTCAAATTCAGACCCCAGAGGTTCAGGGTTCGAATCCTGCCCGATGCTGCCTAGCTCTGTAACCAGTAGAATTGGTCTCCAAATGGCTACTTCAGTGTGCTATAATGGTTAATCTTGTCCCTGCTGCCTAACTCTGTAACCAGTAGAGAGTTGGTCCCCAATTGGCTACTTCAGTGTGCTAAAAGTTAACCTTTTCTCCCTGCTGCCTAACCCTGTAACCAATAGAGAATTGGTCGCCAAATGGCTACATTAGTGTACTAAAGGTTAACCTTCTCCCTGCTGCCTAACTCTATAACCAGTAGAGAGTTGGTCCCCAAATGGCTACTTCAGTGTGCTAAAGGTTAACCTTCTCCCTGCTGCCTAACCCTGAAACCAATGGAGAATTGGTGGGACCCCCGTCTGCAACAGACGAAATTCTGGTGCAACGTTGACCAAACATCCAACCAAAAATCAGGGTTTCGCGCAGACGCAGTACGTTCTGCTGACGTGCTCTGAAAACGCTATCTGTGCAAGTATGTGAGTGACGTGCAGTCGGCAAAGTTTAAAGAGTCTTGTGTAAATACATCAAGAAGGGCACAGTAAACTCAGTTTACCGTAACTATAAACCAAACAACTTCAACTCACATGATTGACATGTTTTTGCCCAAAGGAATGTGTCACATGCAGCTGGACAAAGGGCAATTATTAGCTACCATTTTACGCTTCTATACCACACTACAGCAAGATGGCGGTTGGAGGTGATGTAGGAGCAGAGTTGGACGCAGCTTTTGACATTGTACAGTCAAATCTGGGGGATGACTGGATCGATCTTGGCTTTAAATTAGGACTGAAGTACAACATTGTCGAGGAAATGGTTACTAAGAGTCAGACAATTCATCTGATATGGCGGAACCGTACGATGCTGGAAAAGTGGAGGCAACAAGAAGGAAAGCAGGCGACAGTGGTGAAACTACTGGCCGCTTTAAAGGAGATAAAAAGACAAGACCTTGTGGATAGGCTGAAAGACAAGCTATACCAAGATCTACAGGATGATGCTTCACAGCTCAACACAGAAACTATTGCACAAAGTCAAGATGTTGAGACAGTGGCCCCTCCATTTTCGGATATTTCTGTCCAGAGTTCACAGCCTAAACATGACTCTGCAGAAGAGAGTGACTGTCTAAATGTAGATTTGAAGAAACTGTCACTATCAGGTATGTCTAATGAGGTCTCTAGTTCAGGTCTAGCACAAAATACCACCGATAACAGTCAGTCTGTTGAGACCCCACCATTATCAGATACTTCAACTGGTGTCCTAAGCCAGAAGCGAAAGGAAAGCGCTTTGGAAAACACCACATCAGTTCCATCTACTGCCACAAGCTCATCGCAGGCATCTGAATCACCTATAGGCAAAGAAAACAAGAAAGTCAAGAAGAAAACAGTTAAGAAAACAAAGAAGATCACTAAAGGAAAACAGAGTCAACAAAGTGACAGACATTCGAGCGACCCGAAATTCGTACTGAATGCAGTTAGTAGCATGCAACTTGCAAGGGAAATGCTTAGGAAATGCTACTATCTTGTGGTAGAATCGTCTGCTCGGGAGGAAATTTTCGATACCATTTTACAAATTGATGATAGTAGTCTAGACTTGTGCAAGGAATTCATCATTAAACAATGTAAAGGTTTCGAAATTGGCAAAATGTGGTCATCTTCAATTTGTATACAGATGTTTCCCAAGACTGATGAAAGCATCAGTGAATTAAATGATTACCAAGAAAGTGGCAAGCTGGCAGCTGACTTACAGGCAGAGTTTGAGAACATTGGGCTCAACTGTCCCTTAGAGGTGGACGTTCTGTCAACAGAACAGCTTGAAGAAGAGGTGGCAGAGATAGTGGAGGAAGCTATGGATGCCTTTGTGTTGTCAGAAATGAAGGAAACAGGTGAACACTCTGAGGAGTGTACACAAACGCAGGAAACAGGTGAAGAGTCTACACAAACCTACGAGGAACTGAGAGACACCTGGAGAGATGCGCTGTTAAGGATAACAGCCTGGACAGGTGATGAAGACAAGGTGAAGACCTTGCTACAGGCAGGTGTACAGGTGAACACAGAGAACTCTGAGGGAGAAACACCACTCTGGGATGCAATGAGGGGCGGACATTCTAGCATCGTCAAACTCCTGCTGCAGAAAGGGGCAGACCCTGGAGCAGGGGCAAACACAGACAGTGCAAACACAGAAAGTGGTATGGGGAAGTCTGTACTGCAGTTGGCGGCTCAGAGTGGTAATGCAGAGATGGTGAGCATCCTGACAGAAGCAGATGCGGATCTAAACAGGACGAACAGCAGGGGAACAACTGCCTTGTTTTTAGCAGCTGAGCAAGGACACGCAGAGACCATGAGAACCTTGATTCAAGCGGGGGCTGACTTGAACAAGGCAGACAAGGAGGGAACGACTCCACTATCAGTGGCGGCTGAGAAAGGACATGCAGAGGTCGTGAGCATCTTGGTGCAAGCGGGAGCAGACTTAAACAAGGTAGATGATATGGGAATGACTCCACTGTGGTTTGCTGCTGACAGAGGACATGCAGAGATTGTGAGCATCTTGACCCAAGCGGGGGCAGACTTGAACAAGACAGACTTGGATAAAAAAACACCATTGTGGATAGCAGCATTCTATGGAAACATGGAAGTTGTGAAAGTACTTATCGAAGCAGGGGCAGATATATCTATACCAGACAAAAGTAGCAAGACTCCATATCAAGCTGCCGTAGAAACAAAACACAGTGATGTTGCAAAGGTGATTGAGGAAGCCCGGGTTAAAAAGATATAACCTGGTACTAACACTCTGATATTTGAACTATGCTGGAGTTTGAGACTTACTCAATTTCTGCATTAAATGGATTCCAGAATGGAATACTACAACTGAACGATAATATTAGTTGGCAGATTTAGTCCTGTTGCACATGTCAATGAGAAACAATGTCAGAGACTTGCATTTGTTAGTCTCCACCAGACTCCTTTGACCTAAAAGGCCTCTGGCCAATGATATCCCCTTTTAGGCTAATTTTCACTATTCATTGAGCCTTTAAAGGAGTCTGGTAGAGGCTATACATTTGGGGACAATTTTTTGTTGCCCCTGACCAGAGTGAAGAGCAAAGTCTTACAGGAATCATATCAAGCACTTTATGTACAACTAGAAAAACTTAATATTAAATTTTGATTTCGGAAATTAATGCTTGCCTCCAATGACTTTTCACTTACTACACAAAAACACTAAAAGGCATCGATACCCCTGGGCATATCACCTGTTATCGCGACAAAGGTATCGGGACACCTTGACTTATTTAGTTTCAAGACTTTAGTGACTTATTTCTTTGTTATGTACAGGTCAGTGACCTCGGTCTTTTGTAAAGAAGTAAATCTAGACACTCAGTGAAAGCTAACGTGGTACGGTTAACCGCAAAGTTTGTTTAGTGCAAATATTTGGTTTCTCCTTGCCTAGCTATAGTTTATATGATGTAAGAGGGACAACTCACTCTTTCTCTCTCTCTCTCTCTCTCTCTCTCTCTCTCTAACTAAGAGGGACAAAGATATATAATCTTGTGTGTATCTTTATACAAGAAACACACAAATGTAACAAGAAGGATTAAAGTACTGTTAAATTACTGGCTAGTGCACCTTGGTTGTCCCCAAATGGCTACTTAAGTGTGCTATAATGGTTAATCTTCTACCTGCTGCCTAACTCTGAGACCAGTACAGAGTTAGGCAATGTTATCAGCCCCAATGTACTGGCAAAGACGTCACCAAATGGCAGTAGTAACTTCAGTGTGCTAAAGGTTAACCTCCCTTCTGCCTAACTCTGTAACCAGTAGAGAAATGGTAGCCAAATCACTACATCAGTGTGCTAAAGGTTAACCTTCTCCCTGCTGCCTTACTCTGTAACCAGTAGAGTTACCGAGTTAGGCAATGTAATCAGCCCCAATGTAATGGCAAAGACGTCCGCAAAAACTTCCACACAAAGTTAAGACCATGTCAGTCCAACCTAGGAGGTTAAAAAGCTCCTTTGTCCAACATGCGTATGTTTTTGTATCCTCAAACCCAGGTCACCAGCTCACGAACCCAACGCACTAACAGCAAGGCCCAGACCATTTAAACTGGTCAGTTGTGGGCTCTTGATACAATCAAAAGCATTCCCTTATTATCAAAAGCTCATCTGTTAGTTTAAATGAAAAACTTCTACTTAAAAGGATTCGAGCCTTAAATTCTCATTTTGTTACGTTTCCTTATACAATCGGGCAGCTTTAAGGAAGCCTTCACCATTGTAGCACGCGCTTTTGTACATGTCTCCAATGTAGCTTGCCATTCAGACCTCAACACGTCTTTGTTAGCACCAGTGGCGCACTTGCCTGGCAACAGATAACCATCTGTATCCACTTCCAACAGGCTCAAACATTGGCATAACCTAGCTTTGGACTCTTTTGCTCTATAAATGCTAAGATTACTAAGAAGGTAACTAAGAAAGCATAGCATCCAAGGACCTACATTTGTAGATCAAAATGTTAAACTTTGCTTCTGTATAATGATTTCGTACACTTGTAATGTTTTAAGACTTCTTGGTGATCTTGACTCATATAGAGCAAAACGTGTTTTGCCAAAAGAGCAACCCATTATTTTCCCAGTTACGTACTATCCGTACTGTAGATTGCCATTCATGATGTATGTTTTCTGGGCATTTTTATAACAGACTATCATACTTCTAAGACACTGTCAAAATGCTACAAGGAAGTAGGTCACATAACGCTGCCGGGAAGAATCTTGAACGTCAATATATACCTCTTTACAACATGCTGTTGCATGGTTGAGAGGGCCCGAAATATCTCAGGACACAAAAAAAAACAGGGAAACTGGACACACACTGTTCCATATCATTTGTGGCCAGTGGTTATTTGCTCTACCCACAAGACTCTCACCTGCCCTAACAAGAGACCATAAACATTTGTCTTCATCATTGTAGAATGTGTGGTGATCAAAGACTCCATGTGAAAGTCTTGAATACCCACATGATTATCGAAGGTGTACCTACATAAGAAATTATCGATGCTGCATGAATATATCTATTTAAGTTTATCGTGTTTTAATTTGTCAGTTGTGAGGTTAGTAGCGGTATTATGAGTCTCAAAGTAGATCTTACAATATTTATAAAAACATAAATCTTTGAAGAAATGTTTTCTTTATCAGTAGTGGCAGGTGTGATGTTTTCTAAACCATTCAGTCTTGGCTGTGTGTGAGTGATTTGTTTCGAATTAGACAGGGGTCTTTTGTAATTGAGGTGCTTTTTCAGAACGTAGAAAAGGCTAAATGGCAATCTTTAACTCAGGGCCGGCTCTCAGTGGTGGCTTTTACTGGACAAACAACCTAAACTGAGCTAACAAGTAGGAATATATTTCACTACCAACCCACAGCAAGATGGCGGTTGGAGGTGATGTAGGAGCAGAGTTGGACACAGCTTTTGACATCGTACAGTCAAATCTGGGGGATGACTGGATCGATCTTGGCTTTAAATTAGGACTGAAGTACAATATTGTTGAGGAAATGGTTACTAAGAGTCCGACAACTCACCTGATATGGCGGAACCGTACCATGCTGGAAAAATGGAGGCAACAAGAAGGAAAGCAGGCGACAGTACAGGAGCTACTGCATGCTTTAAAGAGGATAAAAAGGCAAGACCTCGTGGATAGACTGAGAGCCATGTACCCAGACCTACAGGATACACAACTCAACACAGACATCACTGAAAACAGTCAAGCTGTTGAGACGGTGACGCCTTCATTATCGAATATTTCTGCAGGAGTCCAGAGTTCACCGCCTAAACAAGACTCTACAGAAGAGAGTGACTGTCTAAATGTAGATGTCAAGGAGCTGTCACTACAAGGTACATCTATTGAGGTCTCTAGTTCAGGTCTAGCACAAAATACCACCGATAAGAGTCAGCCTGCTGAGACCCCACCATCATCAGGTACTTCAACTGGTAGCTTGAGATCTCTAAGCCCACAACCAAAGCAAAGCACGTTGGATAATACGACATTTTTTGTTCAAGTTCCATCTGCCGCAGGCTCATCACAGGCATCTGAATCATCTAAAGGCAAGAAAATCAAGACGAAAACGGTAAAGAAAACAAAAAAAGGAAAGCGTCATAAAAGAAAAGACTATTCAAGTGACTTGAAATTTGTAAAATGTTCTGTTAAAAGCATGCAGCGTGCAAATCAAAGGGGTGAGAAATGCATCTACATTATCATTGAAACATCTGATGGGAGCAAACTTGACGATGATAGTCTCAACCTGTGCGTGGAAATTATCGAGAAACATTATAATAAAGATAACGAATTAGGTGACTATTGGTCATCTTCAATCTGTGTACAGATGTTTCCCAAAACAGACGAAAGCATCAGAGAATTAAACAGGGACCAAGAAAGTGGCAAGCTGGCTGCTGACGTAAAGAAAGGGTTTGAAAACATTGGGCTCAACTGTCCCTTAGAAGTGAAAATTCTGACAATGGAAGAGCTTGAAGAAGAAGTGTCAGAGATAGTGGAGGAAACTATGGACGTCTTTGTGTTGTCAGAAATGCAGGAAACAGGTGAAGACTCCGAGGAGTCTACACAAACCTACGAGGAACTGAGAGACGACTGGAGAGATGAAAACGAGAAAAGTGCGAAACCAACTGATACTGTAAGGAAAGTGAAATCTTCTGCAAGACGTGGTGTAAGACGTTTAGAATTCGCACTAAATGCTGTACAAAGCCGAAAGCTTGCTAAAGAAATGCGTATGAGGTTCTCCTACCTAAAGATCGAAGACTCTGTTAAGGAGGAGCTTGTGTCAGGTGCTCAGCAATTAGAACAGAAGGCAATGGAGGATCTTTCAGAATTCTACAACGCTAACAAAGACTTGAGCAGGGCCGCTATTATCAAAGTTTTCAAACGACACAAAGTTCTAAGGAAAGGGCTGAAAATTGCCAAAATGTGGCCAACTTCAGAAACTGACGAATGTGTCAAAGCACTGGACAGTGGCCAGGTAACTTACAGACTTACAGAATATGAGAAAATTGGGTACCATGGCCCTTCGCAGGGGGATGTCCGGTCAATGGAACAGCTTGAAGAAGATGTGTTGTCAGAAACTTGTGAGCAGACAACACAGACAGATAAAGTGTTAGGAGAGGGACACAAGACAGACACAGATGTTCCTGAAGACAACGAGACATCCACACAAACCTACGAGGAACTGAGAGACGCCTGGAGAGATGCGCTGTTAAGGATAACAGCCTGGACAGGTGATGAAGACAAGGTGAAGACCCTGCTACAGGCAGGTGTACAGGTGAACACAGAGAACTCCGAGGGAGAAACACCATTCTGTGATGCAGTGACGGGCGGGCATTCTAACATCGTCAAACTCCTGCTGCAGAAAGGGGCAGACCCTGGAGCAGGGGAAAACACTGCAAGATCCAGAGAGAGAGCTAGTGGTATGGGGAAGACTTTACTGCATTTGGCAGCTGAGATTGGAAGTGTAGAGTGGTTGAGCCACTTACCAATAACAGTGGTGAACAAGGACGAGACAGACCGCATGGGAAGGACTCCACTATCGGTAGCAGCTGAGAGGGGACATGCAGAGGTCGTGAGCTTCTTGCTATATGCTTGGGCTGACGTGTACAAGGAAGATGGTGATGGAAGGACTCCAATGTGGTGGGCAGCTTGGAGTGGGCATGCAGAGGTTCTGAGAATCTTGCGGAGGCAAGGTTTTGCCGACATGCACATGGCAGACTGCATGGGAAGGACTCCACTGTGGGTGGCAGCTGAGAAAGGACATGTAGATGTTGTGGAATTCTTGGTAGAAGAAGACGGGAGGCCCGGCATCGCAGACTTGGAACAAAAGACACCTTTGTGGATAGCAGCACACAATGGAAACATGGAAGTTGTTAAAGTACTTATTGAAGCAATGGCAGCAGAAGGCTCAGGCTTAGAGCGTGATATTTCTAAACCAGACAAAACTGGCAAGACTCCGTATCAAGCTGCCGTAGAAAGAAAACACAGTGATGTTGCAAAGGTGATTGAGGACCAGGTTACAAAGACATTGCAGAAAAAGTCATAACCTGATACTAACAGAGAATTGTTGGACTATAATGAGATTATAATGCTGGAGTTTGAAAATTAATGAACGATATCAACGATAAATGCATTGCAGAATGGAAGACTACTGGAAGACAATATTAGCTGGCATTCCATTCACTTATGAATTTACTGAATCCGAGATTTAGTCTTCTTGCACATGTCAATGACAATGTTAAACAATGTACGAGACTTACATTTTGGGTCAATTCTTTCTTGCCCCTGTCCAAAGTGCAGAGCAATGTCACAAAATCATGATATTAAGCACATTATGTCCTGGACTGCCAATGATGTATAACTAGAAAAATAAATATTTAACTTGCAGATGCTTGCCTCTAATGACTTTTCACTTACTAGACAAATTTCCAAAAAGTCCTCGATACCCCTGGGCATATCACCTGTTACCGCGACAAAGGTATCGCGACTCATTGACTTATTCCCTTTCAAGACTTTAGTGACTTATTAATTTGTTATGTACAGGTCAGTGACCTCGGTCTTTTGTGAAGACGTAAATTGAGACACTCAGTAGAAGCAAACATGGCAGGGTCAACCGTAACATTTGTTTACGGTAAATATTTAACTAAACGTCTGGTAGCTACTTAGCCTGGGTACCAAACCTAAGGGTCGGTTTAGGGGTGGTTTTCCTACCCTGCCTTTACTAAGCACAGGCGAGCTATACCCACGGACCTCACATCTCCAGCTGGTGTCCATGTATCCGCTGACTTCCTGTATTACGCCGAGTTTTCTACTGCCCAAAGTGTGAGTGAAGAAACCTAGACCGTCTGGATAAAACTACCCCCGGTGAGCGGTAATTGGGGCCTGGTTTGGCGGCCCATGACGCTACCAGCGCCGATGGTCTGATTACCAGGCTACTAGCTTCTGGACAAACAGTTTCTGGTCACCTCACCTGATCAGCCATAGAAGGAACAAATTTGGGCGGATGCAAGATGGCAACAGGAAAGAGTGCAGATACAAAGCTGGAAAAAGCTTTCCGGATTGTGCAAAAAAACCTTGGAAATGACTGGCTGAACCTGGCTCTATGTCTGGGACTGAGTTACGTGGAAGTTCAGCAAATCAAGAGAGAACAAGACCTGGTCTGGCAAATCCGCACTGTGCTGGAAAAATGGAGACAAAAAGATGGAAAGAAGGCAACATTGGAGATACTGCTGTCAGCTTTAGAGGAAACAGGGAGAAAAGACATTGCAGACAGCGTTGAAGAACAGCTTTCCGACGAGTCGTAGTAGTTCACCACCCAAGGCCAACCGTTTACTTGCAAGGAATCGAAATGGTCAAAGCGCCTGGGGATAGGGAAGAGTACAGATACAAAGCTAGAAAAAACTTTGGGCATTAACTTTTACGCGGACTTTGAGCGGTACGAACTGATTCTACGTGGCAAGGCAATCCAAGATGAAGGCGACAGGAGAAAAAAATGCCAAGGCAAGGCTTAAATTGTTGGTATCATTTACTGAAGTTAATAAGTGACAGCCTGATCCTAATAGGGTCACACAGAACAACAAGGGCAGGGACGTCGCCCTGTTAAGCATGTACCAATAGTGGCTCAGAGAAGCTTCATTTAGTACAATGTTTTTGAGACAATGACCATCTTGACAGCAGCGGGCAGCAATGGACATTTAAATGCTGGCACACTGAAGAATAGACGCAGTTATGGATACCAGCACGAACAATATATATGTTATGTACGTGAAGGCAGTAATTTAAATATTCCCTTAATTTGTAAACAATGCACATGACTTTCAAGACACATGTCCAAAGACACCAAGGCCTGCCATAAAAGACATCCTCACATAAAAACAAGCTTGCAACTGACATAAGAAACGGTAGTTGTACTATCCATCAATATATGGCTGTTAATGTGATGTAATAAGTATTCTGGTTTTGTGAGTTTGTTTAGTAATTTGAACTCATTGATTTTATGGAAATAGTGCTTTGTCTCATTGTTTCAACCTTGCTAAATGCCCCATGTTGTCCTGTAACTACTAAAATTGAAAATACAAAAATTGAACTTATATAAACAATGATTGGACCTCATTATATAAACTTTAAGGTTCATGTGTGTCCTTGCCTAGTTTATATACTGTAAAAAGGAGGAGAAAGATATATAACAAAAATTGGGTGTATCTTTATACAAGTTGCTCACAAGATATCACCAGAAATGTAACAAGTATTAAAGCTTAAAGCTTAAAATGAGTGGCTAGTTCACCCTGTAACACACATACAAAAACACACCCATTCAAGCACAAGCCCCTGACTTTCATATCATGAATGTCACAACTCTTCACTGTATTAGCTTCTCTACCAATTCATTCTCTTCACCATATCTGATGATCAGTTCAGACTACTATTATACTATAAAGGAGCTAAAGAATAGAAGCCAAAGGCCTAAAATGATCATGGACTTTGCTCCTGTACAATAGAGTTGGTCCCAAACGGCTACTTCAGTGTGCTAAAGGTTAACCTTCTCCCTTCTGCCTAACTCTGTAACCAGTAGAGTTGGTCCCCAAAGGGCTACTTCAGTGTGCTTAAGGTTAACCTTCTCCCTGCTGCCTAGCCATGTCACCAATAGAGAATTGGTAGCCAAACAGCTACTTCAGTGTGCTAAAGGTTAACCTTCTCCCTGCTGCCTAACTCTGTAACCAGTAGAGTTGGTACCCAAACGGCTACTTCAGTGTGCTAAAGGTTAACCTTCTCCCTTCTGCCTAACTCTGTAACCAGTAGAGTTGGTCCCCAAATGGCTACTTCAGTGTGCTAAAGGTTAACCTTCTCCCTGCTTTACCCTGTAACCAGTAGAGAATTGGTAGCCAAACGGCTACTTCAATGTGCTAAAGGTTAACCTTCTCCCTGCTGCCTAACCCTGTAACCAGTAGAGAATTAGTAGCCAAACATCTACTTCAGTGTGCTAAAGATTAACAGTCTTCCTGTTGCCTAACTCTGTAACCGACAGAGAATATCTACAATGGCTAACTTCAGTGTGCTAAAGGTTAGCTGAGAACAATTACAATACCTAACAACTAGCAGGGTGGCAGCAAAAAGTTATGCAGAAACACATACATGGACATTACAGCTTGTAACATCATGGCTTCAGTGACATTCAATGTCGAAATGAGCATATCAATATATGGCATAACATACTACACTTAGCTGCGCAAAACCCATAATGTATTGTGTGCATAGCACTTGGGCTGAACGTCAGTCAGTAGGTCGTACTCGCGTATATAAGGTTAGAATCCCGTCTGTAGTTTCTACATATTGTATCGGATATGCACTACGCCTGCGCGAAACCCTGATTTTTCGTTGGATGTTTGGTCAACGTTGTATCAGAATTTTGCCTGTCGCAAACGGGATACTAGTATTTTCCATGATAAATGGTTTCGTTGATGGTGACATGTACATTTGGCCGAGAAAGTTTGCTGAGAGTTTTGTCAACTTTTATAAAGGAAATAACCGATCATAGTCTTTGCACATTGCTCAAAAGGTCTCCTCGTTAGCAATATTACGTTTCTTATGCGACATGTATATATATAACGTTATACATACATACATACATACATACATACATATATATATATAC